TGACATTCTTTCAGGCAATACAATAATTAACATATCTTTGTTACTCAAATTATTGTAACTGAATTTGATGTGTTTTGTAGATCACTAAGTTGCATTTCAATGCTTGCCCATCGTGCCAATAATACCAGCATATCTTTCAAGGATACAACTTTATCTTGAAACAATAAAGTTAGTTATATCATTAAGAAACTATACAACTAATTACATATTATATTTAGAGTTTATGAAAGTTAATACAACAATCACTAATAAAAAAGATAAAATTAAAAACAGGGAGGCAAATGTTTAATGATAAAAATATATACTTGCTAATGGATTCATAATATTTATATGAATTTTGAAATTTGCAGGTGTGCATTCACTTTCTGGCACTGACATAAAAAAATTCTCGTTAATGTTTAAGATACAGATTGCACTGTAAAAGAAAAAAATTCATATTAAAACAATGTAAAAAATTTTCTTTTTTTTTTTTATCTAAAAGTTATTTCTTTTATCCAAAAAATCTTTATTTTATCTTATAATTTTATCTTTTTCTAAAAAAAAATATCTGTTTCAAATAACCTTACTTTTAAAAAAAGTGTGGTTATTTGAAAAATAAAGTTGTCTAATGTTTGTAGTTAATTTTTTTACATATTTTAATTCTGAATTTTAATAATACAGTTTTTAAAAATAATATCATCTATAAAAATATTGTATTACCTACGTTTATTAGATAAATTTAAACAAACGTTTATATAATGAATAATAATGAACCACCAGCAACTGGTAAAACTTTAAAGTGATATGAATACTCTGTTAATTTTTTCAACAATTGATTTCAAATAGATTTCAAAGTTAGTGACACTAACTTTGAAATCCAACAAAGATTTTTTGTTACGTTCATAAACTTATATGTTCTAAAAACAACTAAAAAAACCCGGCCAGTTTTTCGCAACTATATATAATTTCCGTCGTCAGTGTTTAAGTGCGCTTCCTGACCAAGCCTGTGGTGTAAGCTTTGATAATTTGATTATTACATACTAAAATGTTAATTAACACTCTGACTTTTTGACCGTAATATATGAAAAAAATTTTAAAATTGTAAAAGTTAAAGCTATGAATTAAGATTTTCAATCATCAGACATTAAGACTTTTATATAAAAACTTACCATTTAATAAATTTGTTCATTCAACTTCTCAGAGAAAACATTAAACTTCTGTAAAGAGTTTGGAGTTACAGGTAAATCCCAAAATTTAATAATATTTTTTGTTTTATTATAAGAAAAAGAGGATAAATCATCTACACCAAGATATACATAATTTTTTTAAAATGTCTTCTCTATTAAATAAATGATTAAATAAATCAAACATTTAAAATGCCAATACAGCAATAAAAATAAAAAAATAAATTAAATATCTTACACAAAAAATAATTTGATTATTTCCATTATTATTACATTAATAAATTTAGATTGTAGTAAAAAATGTTTAAGCATATTATTTAAATGCTAAAGAATATTTCATTATTTAAAAAAACAAAACATTAAGTCACAAGAATCTCTTGAAGTTTACTTCGTATAAGGAACCTTTTAAGATTCTTAGAAGATTAATAAATATAGCTTCTTTTTTTATTTTTATAATTTAAATAAATAGAAAGATATATAATAGTATCAAAACCTTTTTTTATTCATAAAAATGATTATAGCATATAAAAATGATTATAGCATATGATTATAGCATACCATTTTTAAATAAGGTTTCGAAACAATTTAAAAGTATATACTTATCCGCAGCTACATTGACCGAATATTGGCCAGGGTACATATGTAAGAACAAATTTTCATAGTAAAATATTAAGCATAAACTACATTGGTCAAATGCTGGCCCAATGTAGTACGATTATTGCAAAAAACCGATTTGTAGAATTGCAATATTACGCCGATAAAAAAAGATTGGCTTAATGTTGGCCCAATGTAGTACGATATTTGCAAAATAACCGATTTGCAGAATTGAAAAAAATACGCCGACAAAAAACATTGGCTAAATGTTGGTCCAACGGAATATACTTGCCACTTACAACTTACATTAGGCCAATGTAAGCTTGCTGTCTGGGATATATATAGTAGAAAATAAAAACTACGCGATTTTCACAACTTTAAGTTTCATGCTGTTGCAATCATCAGGTGAAATACAAATATAGTTTGTCTGTTCAAAAAATTATATACAATTGAAACTATACAGAACAAACCAATACGGAAAAAACTTTTTTTATTGTTACGACCGCGTGTATCTTATCTTCAGGTTTGTGGTTGCTCAATAGAAATTTATTTTCGTCACTACACTTGGAAATCAACTATGTTTTTTTTATTGAGTAGCTCTTCAGTATTTTTATAAAGTAAAATAATTAATTATTCATATAAACATAGTAAACATTTTTTTGTTTTTTGTGTTGTTGTAGGCGGGGTTTTTTTTTAGGAGAGACCAAGTTAACTCTGGTGTTTCTTTCAGTTTTTCTTAGTTT